CGGGAGGCGGAGGTTGAAGGACCCGAAGACCCCCCATTGCCACCCACCCGGGGAAAAAAAGACAAAAACCCCCCCTAAAAAAAAAAAAAAAAAAAAGAAACAAAGAAAACAAAATTTCACGCTTGAGTTTCTTCAGGAAAAAATAAAATAGAAACTTATAGCTAAACTGGACCGGCGCAGTGGCTCAAGCCTGTAATTCCAGCACTTTGGGAGACTAAGGCAGGTAGATCACTTGAGGTCAGGAGTTTGAGACCAGCCTGGCCGACACGGTGAAATCCCCTGTTCTCTACTAAAGACACGAAAGTTAGCTCAGTGCGGTGGTGCACGCCAGTCATCCCAGCTATTCTGAAGGCTGAGGCAAGAAAATTGCTTGAACCCAGGAGGCAGAGGCTGCAGTGAGCCGACCAAGATTGTGCGACTATGTCCAGCCTAGGCTAAATAGCGAGACTCTGTCTCAGAAAAGAAAAGAAAGGAAAATTATAGCTAAATTATAATCTTTGCCACAACTAAACAGGTGTTTTAAGATAAACACAAGAAGCCATGTATTTGTTATAAAATAAATATGTTCCATGTGACAAGACCTAATTAAGTTTACCTAAGCTGAAAGAATACATCTTCATCCACAAATCCAAATGTGTCATGTAGTTTTGTAACCACCCCTGTGAAAACACGCTGCTTCTGAGGCTGGGTTTGCTGTTGACTGGACCTTGGTGTTGGATATGATACAGTTATTTGTGCTGTAGGCTGAGGAGTAGACAGGCTAAGGCTTGTAGGCAGTGCAACAGCTGGCTATAAAGCAAAACCAACATCAAATTAAGGTAATGATTTGAAATCATACAAAAATTGACCCATACAGAAATTAACCCAGAATGTTCAAAATTTTATATTGTTAGAAAACATACATGTACATCTTGAAAGTGAAAGTCAAGTCTAAAACTAAACTATAAATTATTTTTAACCTATTTCATCAAGCTCCCTTAGATAAGTATTCTTACTAATTCAAAACCCATACTAGCATAATAAAGGCTCAGGAAAGTCCTTAGTAAAGGAACTCAGCATTCCTTAAACTTTGACCACAAAATTATTTTCTCATGAAATTTCTTTAATATCTTAAGACACTACTAATATGTTATGAGTACATTTAAGGAAACAGCATTTAAATAAAAGAAATTCTACAGTTTTTCTACTTAATTGGAAATTCTACTTTGTTGATGATTGAAAATATGAGTTAGGGGCCGGGC